TATCTGACGACAATCATCGCTTCCTCGTTGAGAGCCATGCATTGGTCCTGCAGTAAGTGGTAACTGATAGTCAAGTACTCACATCAGGTTCGAGCAAAAGCTTTTGTTGTTTGGTGTGTTTTGAACGCTAGTGGTATGGGGGAAATGACTGGCCAGATGAATTCAAAGCTTATAAATGTCTTGTGATACAATTCAAGTGCTTGGATTCCAGCTTTATAAATTAATTTCTGAACTATGCTGATGGCAGTCGCATTGTTTCGTTCAAAGCCTGGTACAAGACTCGTAAGTGTGGTACTTTTGTTGATCATGGCCTAATAGCACTGCTCATTGTGGGTCCCTGGAAACCCAAATGACAGATCAATGCCCCAGATATATGTATATATATATAGAGAGAGAGAGCTTGAACCAGGACATTTTGGCATCAAGACACTGGATCGTTTGAAAACACCCTTCTTTTCTCGGAGACTGACTCAAAAAGCTTACTCTTAAGTTCTGATCTAGAGTAGATATATTACACCATTAATCAGTAGTCATGCCCAATTCCGGTTGCAAGCCTGACGTGCGGTCTTATGACGAGCTAAAGTATTCCTAGCTGCCTGACAACCACCTCAGATGCAAGTCTGGCTTTCATGTTTAATGGCGGTGTAATGACATGCATGATCTCAATCACTGGAATATCAACTCGGTGTGTACATGATTCGCTCCCCAGAATGAGAGTGGCGCGGAGTGCTCCTGTTCCAGTGATGCTCAACTTAATCTGAAAATCCTGAATGACTGGGTGGCTGGGTTGCTGGCTGAGAGGGAGCTGCATATTCGCCACGGTTTAAAGTCAGTGGAGCTGTTACGCCACAGCTGCTTGTAAAATCCTTTCTTGTCTTTAGTTAATTCAACGACTCTTCCACCTACTACCACTCCGCCGGTTTGGAACTGTGGGAGACCGGAGGCACGTACTTTGCATGAGTGTCCGCTTTTGTCTTTCTCAGGAGACGTTGGAGCTTATGGCAAGTTTCTCGACAGATAACGCGCTCATGAGCACCGTTCAGATCAATCAGACCTGCTAAAGACAAACTCTCTAACGACCTTGCGTGCTTGAGGAGTTCTGCTTGCCTCGTCAGGTTTCCTTGTCACAGACCAGCATGTTCAGTCGTTCAGTATATGTAAGCAAGGTTTTTTGTCGCTGATGAAACCGACCACGAAGTAAAGTAATCTATTCTTGTCTGTTTTTGAGAATACATGTTTCATTGTACTCCATGGTCCCAGATGGGTGATTTCGATTCGAGCTCAATATTCTAGTAGTCTGAGATCAGGAGCACTGCCGTTTCGGTACATGTCCCGCCTGACGTATGGAAGCATATCACAGAGGATTTTCGAGTAAAACCACAACTTGATTTCTCGCCAGGACAGTGAACTGGTGAAAGATACATTGTAACGCATCTGCTTTCCCTGAAATTTCTAAAATATCTCGGCAATATATATGCATGAGGTTAAACCTGGAGCTGATTACGTCACACTTCGTGACGAAATTTCATATGTTCAGATTACATCACACTTCATCACACCCACATATGTTCACATATGTTCAGATTACATCACACTTCATCGCACCCACATCCACTACAACCCAACCGTTTCAACCACACACCACCATCCACTACAACCCATCCTGCAAGATGGGCCCGATGCAACCACCGTACAGCTAGACGACCACCTGCGGCTCTAGTAGGATGAGTTAATCCCATGACCTTGCATGCTACGACATCGACACAGGTTCACACAAACCTCGGCGGGTTAAGGACGTCGGGTCGGAATTGATAAAAGCGCTCACGATTTCGGTGCCGGGTACGGTTCATGACCATGTGAACACTCTCTGGCAATTACTCCTGTGTACTAGCCACAGCTCTGCCATGACCACTTCCCACCCGGCTATCTTTGACTTGAAGCTCATGATCAGGGGAGCGAATTGATGGTGGTCCGTGGAGCAGCGGTCCGTATGAGTGAACCCACTTTAATTTTTAGCTCCAATCCTTGAAGCCTTCTGAGCAGTCGACTGATTGGATATTGCCTTTGGTACTAGTGTCCTTCCGGAGTTGCGAGCTCTGCGCTGCAAACCCTACGACGTTGCAGTGGATTATTCAAATTGTGAGCAGTGTCTTATCATGACAGTTTGCAGTGCTCTGTGATGGAATCTCTAGCGGTCTTGTATACAGCTCGGCCACATACAAGACCGCTAGAGATTCCATCACGAAGCACTGCAAACTGCCGCGAAGTACGCTTCATGTACACCTTGTACGTAGAGTTTTACCGCGACTCTCAGTGACCAGCTCCGGCCATCTGACCATCATCTCCTGGTGCAGCTTTCACCCAGAAACCGCTACCTCCAGTCCTGCTGCGTGGGCGATGGCTTGTTGGCTCTGGTGATACCCCATAAGGCAACAAACATCCTTCACAGCATAGCCCCGTGTACTAGGCATTCCTCAATTGTCCACCTTCAAAGCCTTGTTCCTCGTCACATCCTTCTCGTCTCAATACCAACACCATAACACTCCCTAAAACAATCTGATGCAATATGCATCGGTGGACTGCTTGCTTGTGTAAGGAAACAGCTCTAGTTGTTGTGATTGTTGGGTGGCGTGATTAATGGGGAATCTGTTTGTGTTCGGATCTCTATTCTACACTTGTGGGTGCAATCATTCTGCTCATGGTTTCCAGGGTCTGATGCTTAGGATCCATATTTGGTTAAGTTTCAGGGGGTTACATGACTTTTAATGTGCTTTGCTTTGCTTTGCTTATCTTGAGAATTATGGGGGAAAAAATGTATTGATGTTGAAATAACATGCTGTATGTCCAAATGGGATGTATATCGATCAGAATCATACTTGTGAAGAATATAAAGCCAACTTTTTAGTTTTAACTTAAAAGGAGCGTCATATCAACTTTTGCAATAAATATCCATGATTGGATGTTTTTTGACATGGAATATTTTAAAACATTTGAAAGATAAGAATATATATACATATACATACATATTTCATATATTTACAACTGGAAATTATATATAAGATATACACTAATTTAATAATGATTTTATCTATTTAATAACTATGGAGAATTTATGTTCATTTATTAGTTAATCAAAATATTTGAGATTATGCAAAAGATATCAATATTTTTCTATAGTTAAATTTTATGATTATTAATTTGTTTGGATTTTATCCTACATAATTTTTTTAATTACATTGAGGTGTAAAACATTTAGTAGAAATGGAAATGGGTGATTTAAATATGTGAGTTAACTTCAAAAACATTTACACATACTTTAGAGTTTAGTCTTTAAATGATTGAAAAATTATATTAGTCTCTTAGAACAAAATTGAATCAACTAATAAATAATCTTAAATCATTACTGATCACGTATAAAGTAGATTAGATGTTTTATTTATATTTATTAAATTATATAATATTTTAATATAAAATACTTAGAAGACATAAAATAAGCAGTTGATATTATTTTCTATTTTGTAAATTAATTTATGCTGGTATTAAAACGTATACAAAATTATAAATTTGTATGGAAGATATGTAATAATATCATACTCATCTATTTTGTATGAGCTTTAATTTTTATAATTTAATTATGTTTGGTAATAAAGTTTAATGATATTTTTAAACTATATTGTTTGTACTTTATATCACTGTTTTCTTCATACCAAGCTAATTGTATATCCAAATAACTTCTGATTTAAAATTACACAATATCAGTTTTTAAAATATTCTCAAAAATGAAAAGTTTTCATGAAATTTTTGAATGTGTATTTGCGTAAAATTTGGAAACTCATTATTGGGTATTTTGCATTCAAGTATAGCAAGTATAACAGCCTTCTTCATACTAACCCAACTATTTTTGTTAAATGGATCAATTGTATTATATCATTCATTATTGATGATCTTTCATTTCAGAGAAATATAAAATATACTTGAATAATAATTCCATAGTATTATATGATAAATAATTACGTGATTTTTTAAATAACAGTATAATAATCAACAAACTAAATGTATTTCTTTCATAGAATAATTTCCGTTAAATTCCATTCACATGTAACCATAACTGAAAATATGTGTTATAAAAGTTATTGTCAAGTCTGTCTCTCTATATGAGTAAAATTTTGATTTTCAACAAAATTATTATTATTTTGATTATAAAAATATATTAATAAGATAAAAATACTGTTTTGAGAGTAATGCATATGATTTTAATGATTTTGTTTAAATTATTTTTAAAAAATTCATTTTCAACATCCAGTTGGTGTTTTATATACTATAACTCTGCAAATTTTCAGACAAGTTTTTTTTTTTTTTTTTTCCTTTCCTTTAATGTAAAATGTAATTTCAAAGATATTAAATATTATAGACATCAATGTTCAGATAACTCACATATTGTCAACTTCAACAAAAACATAAGAGATAAAAATTAAAAACATAATAATTAACTTGCACATGCAAAACCACCTTTCATTATTTTCACGTGGATACAATAAAAAAAATAGCTGTCATAACATGGTTTTAAATGACTAGCCAGGAAGTAGTTATTGTAGTTCATTTCCTTCTTTCATGAAGCATACATAAAGGATTTCACTATATAAAAAGGATAGTTGTTTGATTGTCACAGCCACCCTGTGAACAACTCAATTCTATCCAATCACATATAATATATAATTATGATGAAACTGTAGGCTCAGGACAATGCTTGTAATGTCATATCACATCTCATTGTTGAGGGATCTTATGTCTTCTTATAATAAAGTCCTAATTCAACAAGAATTGACAGTCATAAAATGGATACGGAGAGTAATATCCAGGATGACCCAAGCATGAGTAAAGGAAAAGATTACTTCTTGAAAAATAAAATGAAAAAGCAGAAGAGAATATAAAAAAAAAAACTGTTCCGATACTCACTTTCATTTGTTCAAAGTGTCGTTTTTATGAAAACACCAAAAACATTATGTAACCCGTGTGTTCAGTTTGATTTGCTCAAATCGTGAATACATGCACACGCCACAATCTCTTCCTAGTAGAGGAAAGATTGCACAGATACCAAAAACATGACGGAACTAGCCTAACCAAGGCACGCTGATTTACTAATGTAAAAATGCTTTATTTTTAAGAAACAAAAAAAAGAGAGATTGTGTGGCATTGTGAAAGTACCTCTTTCTTAGCTCTCGCAGAGGGGATTTGTTTAAAGAGTAAGAAGCGGTCTACTAGAGTTAATTACCATCGAACTCTAGATTCTATGTAATCTTCAACACAAATTATGCGGCAAGCAATGGCAAGCCGGCATATTCAAGATGCATGAACAGTAACATGCTGAACTAACCCTCTTGAGAATGCAAGTGATTCATGAACTTTCACGAAGCCGTGCCTTCTCTTTACCACACGTAGAGATTCTGGAAAGAGTATTATTCTGCAAGTCAGGTTGCACTCCCAGGCAGTAGAAGGTGGAATGGAGTACGGGTTAATACCCTGCAAAAATGATGTTCAGGTGACATGTTTCACACCTTCATTGAACTGTCAATGGTGCCCATAAGAGGTTCTTCCGGTAATCTAGCAGTTTCACCGACGGCATCCTCCATCCTCATATACCATTCTCCTATTTGAGTAGAAGCCAGCAAGTCTTTTCCTGTGTCGAGATGCCTAATGGGCCTCAACACTCCAAAAACTGCAAGATCCGCCAAATTTGGCTTGGAACCCCCTACGACAAATCAATAAAATACAGCACTGTTAAACGCTTTTCCAAAAATAATAGCTACTTCACATCCACAATCAAATTCATGTGCGCCTTGCAGGGTCACCAGGGCCGTCTAACAGCTGCAAAGGTTCATCTAACTAGCATTAGCATATAGTACGAGTTGCTCAAAAGATCTAAAACACACTACTAATGATCCTCCCACAACTGGAAAACTTTCAGATTGAGTAAACAAATGTGAATAGTGGGTACTACTAACAACCTTGACCCTAAAAATCAAATACTAATGAGGTGACACAGCTTAAAAAAAACAAACACTTCTATCAGGGAGAAATCTTCAAAGAAGTATGTGGATTACCCATAAAAGATCGACCGTTCAAAGCCGCCACCCACTCCTCAGCAGCCTCATAAAGAGAAGCACGTGCATCAATTATATTATGTCGTTTCTTTAACCGCTTGCCGATGAAATACATGGCAGTAGCTCCGACATACTTTCCAGTAGCCCTTTCAATGGAGCTAAAATTACCTGCGAAATGTTATCAAAACAATGAACATTTGAAAGTAAACCAAAGTACATGAACAAAATGGAGGAGGAACTAGAGTGCTAGCCACCAATACAAATCTGCGCGTGCCAATGCTCACCATTAGTCGTGAGATAGTCGAAAGCTTGCAATGCCTCCCTAGGTGTGCGATAAATGTTGGGTGACAATAGGTGCACAAGATGTTCGTCTACCCAGCTGTAACAATACCCAAAAGATTGAGTCAAAAGGAGAGCCACATGAAGAATACATGAAAAGCAGACATGTTTCATTACTCCAACACAAAATCAGAAACCATACCTAGAAAATTAGATCTAGTTTAGTGTGATACTAGCTTGGTTACGTGTGACTGTATCCCTTAGTATAAACACACCTGCGCCATTTCTCTTCCTCATCAGATCCGATTTTCTGGGCGAGGTCTTTTGCATTTCCCCCCTGTATTCTTCGAGTAAGTTCTGTAATGATAGCTGCGAACAACCCAACCAACCATTCTAAGATACTCTTGTCGAATACTGAAGAAGGGTCAGCGACAAACAATGCTAGTCACTCCTGTAGCAGCTTTTAACCCCGCGACTTCAACGTACATGAATACATGAGGGCAATATTTAAAACTAAGCTTCTGCACCCGGGAAACTGCAAGAATAGGTTGAAAATCATTTCTCTGTGCTCCAATAGATCTCACAAAAGCCTAAAACTACAACAGGACTTAATTGCGAATAAGATGAGATGTCAATAGCACGATCTTGTTCAGTTAACAGGAAAGATTCCAGCAGCTTGTAGTAATTATACCTGTGGAATCATTGAGAGCTTCGCCGTCCACAACTAAAATTGGCACCTTCTTGTAGTCAGACCACTTTATCTCCTTTTTCCCAACAGGGTTCACCTCAACCACTTTGTAGGCTATATCGTGATAGTCAAGAAAAGCTGCACTCAAAACCACAGCAGAAACCAGGTCAATAGAGAAGATAATCAGAGCATTGTAATTCCCCTAGCTTATCAACAAACATGTACATCTCAATTACAATAGTAGATACGTTACAAGATCCGAGTAGTTTTTAGGTCAATCTCTAAACTGCAGTTGGGAAGCAGCTGCGTGACGACAATTCATCTTCTTATAACTGCGAATTGCATCGATCATCTACTATCATCGCTACCCTGTTTAACATTAGGAAAGATTCAGCTCAATCAACTAACAATGTCCCAAAGAAATCTTAAATACTTCCATCGGCTAAGATATATCTTATATTTCTATAAGGTAATAAGTGGGACGACAGTTTTCCACTCTAGCATTTTCTCCTCTCAGACAAAACAGGCAACACAGAGCCAACGAATTCCTAGATTATCAGTCAGATCTCCACAAAAAACAAACCACGACGCGCCACATTAAAACCCTAAGATACCCAAGAGCTTGCACGGTACAGCAAACATGCCACTACGTATGATTCACTTCGACACGCTACAAAATCCGCACCCATGAAATTCACCTCATCCAATCACTTTCAGATTCCACCTAACGACTTACCTTTAACTTTGTTGCAAAACGGACAGGCATCGTACTGATACAACACGACTTCCTTGGGCGAAAATCTATCCGTCACACGCTCCTTCCCATAAGCAACAGTCATCGTGGATGCTGCAAACGACAGCGATGCGGCACCCGCAGCAATCCAGCTCCCACTACTCCACCTTCTCCAATTCCTCGCCCCTTGCTGCTGCTCCTCCTCCACCACAGCCATCGCCTTCTCCATTCCCGCTGCGCGCGTCCCAACTCTAAGCACAGCGTCATCGCCCTCACTCGTCCCGATCACTCTGCCATACTGCTGTGCCGCTGCCGCGAGCCCGCTTCTTCGTGCCCTTGCGATACGCTGCGCCATTACCCTCACCGCAGCCATGACTCACTCCGCAAGCTTCTCTCCCTCCCTCTTCACCCACCCGCAGAGTGAGTAAGCAATTGTGGAGGCGACGATCCCTGTGCGGCAACAGCAACGCCGCTGAAGCCCTAACTGAATCTCTCTCTAGGCGCAGCCTGCGCTGCCACCAACGTTTCAGAAGCTCCGGGAAACAAACAACACAGCGTGCGTCGACGGACGCACACCGGTATCTGAGGGCCCGATTGAGATCCCTACCGACAACTCTTTATTTCCAGATCCCCTATTTCAACAACATCTGATTCGGGATGAGCTCTCGTCTGCGGACTTCGTCTGGTTGGCTTCAACATGGTGGTGGGAATATTGATTGGGTAGTGCCGAGCCCATTTGGTTCAAATTTAATAATACCACATTTTTTATATCTGGGTATTTTTTTGATTTTTCAGGTTTTTCAGAGTTACTTAATAAGACTTGGGGAATTTAAAATTGAATTTTAGGTTTTGGGAATGCATTTTATTTGTGAACTTTGTACAAATCGAGATTTAAAATTGAAGAATAATAGTTTCTGTAGTGCTTTCCCTTGCGACCTGCACAATCCATTCTTTTGTAGAAAGGAACCTCAAAATCATATCCAGCTGCGTGTGAATATAACTCTCATTTGTGGGGGATGGAGGCTTCAGTAATTTGCTGCCGGACAACTATGATGAATCCAGCGTTAATATTGAACCCCCCAGAGTAAAACTTCCAGTTTTTGGAAGGCTACACAACTGCCGTCCCAGTGGTTGTTGTTCTTGTGCTTTGCACCGTTGCGTACATAATTGATGCGGTCGTGGATTTGCACGCACTGCTACCAGTCCAGCAGGTCTCAACAACACCGTAAAGGTACTGATGAGACTTATCAAATATATATATGTGTGGATGTATATATATATAGATATAGATATAAATGGAGTTGTTAAAGCTACATATCCCAACCCCACCACCCTAGTCCCCACCCCCTTGATTTCCCCTCTCGCTTTGGTCACAGCACTGCCAAAAATTAATTAATGATATGTGTAAAACATACATACGTATGTTTAAGTCTTGGGTATTTTTTAAACTTGGGTATTTGGTTTGCTCTCATCTTTATGTTACAATTTAGATATCAATCCAAGTCTTCAAGAAGTCATATCTAATTTATAATTTATAATTCTAATTGCTTAACAAAGCAGCAATATAATTTAAATATATAACTTAGTTTATATAATCCATTTCTTTTAAGATTTTAAAAAATCAAAATGAAAGGTTGAATACTAATAAAGAATCAGATTACTGTGGTTATTTCTTAACAATATATTTTTCATTATGGCCAAACCATCCACCAGTGGCTATTTTATTTTATTTTATTTATTGTGTTACTTCTAGATATCAAATGCTGTCCATGATCTTATGTTTTCATTGCAATAAAAAAATATATTTCTATCGTTATTTTTATTTTTTTATTTTAAAATCTTGACTATATTATATAAGGTTAACAATAAATTAATTAATTAATTAAATCTCAATTTTACTTATGTAATACATTGATTCTAATCAAATAATTTTGGAATCAGCATGTACTTTAAAAATCTCTATTATGCACAGACCTTTGAAGTAAAGCATTTAGTGATTTTTTTTTCAAAATCCCAGCATATTCATATATACACACATCAAAACTCAATAGTAATCTTTACATTATCAAAAATTAAATAGTGTAAGAAGGTAGTCACATAGAGATTACAAAACATTTAATTATCCATAATAAAGTTAATAAAATTCAAATGATTACTTAAAATGAATGATTATAATTGAATAAATAGTAACAAATATGATCTTAGCCTTAACAAAATCAGAAGCACTTCTACTTTATATTGCACAAGTCATTGTTGACTTCCATTCAAAAAATAAGTATAAAAATGTATAGTTACATAAACTTAAACATACATACATATATCATTAATTAATTTTTGGTAGTCCTATGACTAAAGGGAGAGGGGAAAACAAGGGGGTGGGGATCAAGATGGCAAGGTTTGGGTATGGGAATGGGGATGTGGGACATAGAACTTGTACAAAAACAAATCACAAGTTGCGAAGGAGGGTGTGGCTTTAACCACTCCCTATATATATACAGAAATAAATAACAATGCAATCCAAATTTTTACTAAATCAACCACATGCTCAGTTCCTAATTGTTCCCCTATTCCCAACCATAACCCCCATTCCTGAAGTTCCTAGTCCCTTGCCCCCATTCTTGGCAATGGTTAGGAATGGGGAACAGATAGGAATAGGGGTGGAGGTTCCAAGGATGCAATAATGCTTAAAATAGAATGGGTCACTTTAGTAAAAATTTGGATTGCTTTATCGTTCCCTATATATATATATATTACTTTTGCCAACAACAAAGTAATTGTTTGTGGTATTGTTAATGTGTTAATTTGACAACCCATGATAGCTCAAAGGTTGAAATAAGCAAACACCACCATGATTTCGAATAATGGAGCTACTGTTAACTATTTTAAAGTTATCATTTTCATGAACCCAATGATTCGTATCAAATTTGACGATGAAGATAAGAACTGTCTACAAAAGTGTTTAGCAGCAATTTGGACTTCAACTCTTCAATCTCGTAGTTTGTCTCACTTTCTGATTTGTGGTGAGATCCAACTCTCTAATTTAGTCATCCTCAACCAGAATTATTGGCTCTTTTTCAGCATGATTAGTTCTTTAATAGGGTATTTAGGTGCAATTGTCGTTGCATTGTAATCCAATTTACCACAGAAGGTGTACTGTATTGATCTTTTTAGTGACTGATCGTAAAAACCCACATGCGTTTCCATGAATTATATTTATAAGAAGTAAAATTTATGAAAACGAATATTAAATTCGGCGCATTCCTTCAGAACAAATCAATAATGCTGAAACTCTAAAAGGACAGGATGCTTCATACAATTCTCAATTGGTTCAATAGTAATTTAGAGGTTGTGTAAATGAACAAATTTAAATACATATCAATGATAAATTAAGAAGAATGTGGTAAAGAAGATGAGGAACCTACATTAAATAAAATTAACTGAGATTTAAGTTATCCTTTCAAAAAATGATTTGGATTCATCGTTCCAAAGTTCTTTTGCTTTCACACTCTTCCCCACTCATCCACCAAGATGATGCAACTTTATTGCAGCACTGATGAGCATATCTAAAAGAGAGAATTCTCAAGTGAAATTTGATCAACTTTAACAAAAAAATTCTGTCGTGATTGAGCCTGCTGATTAGTTTAGCAAAACAAACTCATTGTTGAATCGGCCTACTTGTTCAAAGCACACATAGAAAGCTTACAACCACTACCCATCTCTTCTTAGCACTGTCATCTGCAGATGTGTTCCACCAATGCCTCTGGAAGGTTTCCGGTTGCCTGCATAAAACAAACCAAATAATGACTCCAAAATAGTATGAAACATCCCATATTTGATAGCCCCATTAAGTCATGCACCGCCAAAGAAATCACTTCTATCAACATGAAGCTCAGAAGGCATCTAAGATATACAGTTACATACCTGAAAATGACGCATGTGAAGTATGGGTTCGCATCCAAGATCACCAAGAGCCTGACCATCTATCAAAGCTGTATACGTACGTGCGTGATGAGCTGTGAGGAGAGGCTCCCCTGGAGTCTCAACCAATCGACAAACTTGCAGCAAAGAATCTAGAGAGTTCATCTGAACACGTTTACAGTTGAGATACTGTCAGAAGCTAGCCCAAGCTACCTCTTCCTATCAATGAGAGACAGAATTTGCCAAAATGAAATAATAACTGTGATTGTGGACAAGCACGTGCATACCACAAAATGCATTGGAGCATGCTTCACAGTTCTAGAACATCCAAGTTTTAACTAAAAATGATGTGAACCCTGGTGAGAAACAACATTTAGGTTCTACTTTAAGCATAACCACAGTAACTGACGTAACGAGAGACGTGTGCTAACCTTCATAAAATGACATGATGCACAGCCACCGCTTATTGAACATCCCTCCCCAGAACTAACTCCTGGAACAATCGGCAGCTTCGCTAGTGTTGACTCATAAGCGCCATTTGTAGTTGAAGATGACGTTGCACTGATTGCCTGAGATGATACTGGGAACACAATCTCTACTTCAACCTTACTGCTTCCATGAAGCTTCTGATAGTCAACTAGCAACTTACGCACGGCTCCCACAATAGATGTCACCATTCCTGATTCCGTTCCCAAAATAAACTGAAGACGATCCTCGAACCCTCGCTGCAGAGCTTGTGTGACATGTTCCTTGATGAAGTCTAAGATGTTTGACGTTGATCCAACTACACCCATACCTCTCTGCTTTGCTTCCATGGCAAGTGCGAACATCTCCCCGGGAACCTCAAAATGGGCAGTTTGATAAGCGTCTCCATAACCCTGTCGCACCCGATCAACTACATCCTTTCCAAACATGTCGTGTACAATGCATGTCCCATCCTGCAATACACGAAAACAGTCACGAACTTCAGGAAGTGAACTTTTAGAACGTATCTCTGTTAAGACCTAGAAGGCAATTTTTTTCCCATCAAAATTAGCCTGGCGAAGGTTTCCACAGAATTTTATATTTATTCTGCTAAATCAGTACACCCAAAACATTTACATACTGTAAAAGTAACCCTAAAAATACGATAAACTATCGAATATAGAGATAAGAGCAAGAGAAGTCAACCTCGAAATACTTCAAGCGCGGCAACAGTGCTGCAATAGTGTCTTTGGTGTGAGATGGGTGAACGGCAGCTATTTCCTCGTCGCCAAGCGAGAGCATTTGTTGAAACATTTCAACAAGATTTCCTCCCATGTATGAATCAGGGCCATACCAAACTGTCAAGTCGGGCACCTGAGCGAAACCCTGTCATAACAAGCTCAAAGATAAGAGGAGGTTGTTGATCATTCTGCTAAAGCATCAAAAAGCCCTGTACCCACTAAAAACTGGGAAAAACCAAAATCAATGCCAGTTAGTTATTTTGAATCACAATTACTTAAGGAAAGTTACGTGACGATACGAAGCGATCGGTTAAAAAATAACTCATTAGCGTTGACGTTTTTAGTAGAGCCAACGAACCTGCAAAACTGTTTGCACAACGTTGGATGATGTGCAGGTTATAGTTGGCACTCGGGAGTGAGCTTGAGCTTTGGTCTCGAGGGACGTATTTATGTATATAACATGCATCGACTTGGGAGTTTTAGATGCTTCCTCCAAAAATTTGATATACGAATCGCTCTCAGCCGCCTCCGCCAATGAACACCCAATGTGGTCTGATGACATACGATAAACACTAACCTGGAAAATTAAAAACCATTGTAATAAGTTCAGTGATAGAGAAATATGTTGTAAAGATGATCAAAACCATCAAATGCTACACGAAATTCGCATTCCCTATACAATTTGAAGTGCGCGACACTACTCTTATTGTATTAGAGAAATTGCACAGAAATAGAACATACCTTCTCATGCCCAGCACGGTCAAGGATTGCACGCACATTCTCGGACATGAAGTCTACTCCCAGAACCGCTATATGCTTGCATCCCTCATTCGCCATACCAACAGCACGATCAGCCATCACTAATGAGTCTGATATGTGAATGCGGGGCCACAACTTTTGAGCTGCCACAAGAACTCCTTGCACTTCTGGGTCCATGTAAAAATGAGCCACAACACCAATTTTTTTCTCCTTCAATAATCTTGCTAGCTCTTCGACTTTGCTTTTGTCAGGTGACAGGTACTTTGCCTGCAGAACAAGCAAATATCGCTCAGAAATCGATGCAAAGGTCCAAGATTGACCTGCCTCAAAATCAATTTACTGAAGAGAACCAGTATCTACACAGGAAGCATCCTTGTCGGTCGCTCACTCATTCGATCTAGAAGAGCTGAACCTGATTGGTACTGAACAGGCGTAGAATAACATCACAATGCATTACACCTAAACTTGGAAGCTTTCAGATGGAACAAACAATACCTGTGCTTTTGCAAAGTCTCCTTCTGCAACAATATCATTAGCCGTGATGAGGAGAGATGGAAACGGCTCAACGGTGGACAGACCAGCTTTCTTCGCAATCAACATACTAGTTCGTTTTTGAAGCGTGAGAAGAACATTAGACCAAGTGTTGGCACGCGACTGGGTTTCCATCCCGACCTTCAAACCTTTCAGCGCACTCACCGGCACAGTGAGCAAATCCTCAGCTGTAGCTCCATTGAGGCCCTCCAGCAATATTGAACAAAGTCCGCGAGTAACCTCAGAATCGCTATCCACTCCAAAGTAAACCCTCCCATCGTTCGATAGTTCCACTGTAAGCCATACCTGCATTCAATCAGACACTCACTTCTACTTAGATATTGTAAAAATACTTCCAAGTGGCTGCTATTCGTCCACACGACCCTTGGGTAACTATCACACATCTCATGCTGATACCAAACCGTTATAGGAGGACCACAATGAACGTACCACCACATTCAGTAGAATGACGTTCTCAATGGAGCTACAGCTGAGGATGTTCTCAGAGAGGATATCTACACTAATAAGCCTAAGTTCCAGTTTCATCAGTTAATGATCATAATTGCGGTAAAATCAGGGGAAATTTCTAAGACCACGTGGAAAAACTTCAAACAACAACAATAACAGGAGGAAGAAACTGTGGAATACAATCATATTGTTAGTTTACCAAGAAAGAATTAGGCAATGTAAACAATTCACTTAAACCCCGCTGCATCACATGATACTTCGGAAAAGGAATTGGAACTACCTGAGAAGTACAACCCATCACTCGATTCTCTGGAACTTTCGCATCTGCAGGCAACCGAGGAATCTTCTTAGCATAACCCAAAACACGCTGTACACGAGCACGACCCTCGTCAGCACTCGAGACATCTTCCACAAGCTGGTGCAATTTCTTTAAAGCACTCTCGTCCTTGCTAACGGGTGACAAAAGTTCTGGCTCCACTAGTGCACTGCGCAAAGTGACCTGAAAATCAACAAAAGCCGCATCAGTATGTGAAACACCAATCCACGCAATACTCAATAAAATGCACATCAGCCTGCAATCGATGTACTGGTAACAGGTTTCAGTAGCATCGCAGGCTCTGTCAAAGCGAGAAAGGGGGCAGAGAAAGACACGAAAGATGGGACAAACAGGACCCCCGCCAGCATCAGATGACCACCCTGACTGACGCTCAGAGCGTAAATTCATTGGATCCACTCTGGTGCATTCAAAGATTGATACCCTAGACCAGTCCAAAACTGTGGAAAACGGGTGGTGATTAGGTTGGATCAAGAAATTTCGGCGGCATGCATATTTGGATGCTCCAACCTCCAGCTACATAAAATAATAGCAGCTACTAAAACCTCATTAGATTCAGAAGTTGTGACAGGAAATCTTTAAAACGTGATAGAGAGCAAAATATTGTATGAAACATCTCCTAAAAATCTCCGGCCATGAAATAATTAACTTATATGAACTACAGCTTCTGCAAACAGAAGCTCCAACTACCCCCAGCAATGATATCAAGAACTTCACTACAGATCTAAACCAAGAGCTCCTCCTACGCAAATAGAATACTCACAAGATCCCACGTTCATAAGTTGCTTGTACTCACCAAGCCTTTAACCTCAGTGCGATTATAGAACTTCGCGCGCCTCCTCAGAGCATCCCGCACTCCAACTTCCCGAATCCAAGAGGTCCTCAGAACCACAGAGCTACTGGATTTGGCATATGAGGCCAAAGCCCCTGCGCCAGAATGTGCATTCGCCAATACCGTAGAGGTCACCACTTCCCGCACCACAGGCATCGAGGCGCCCAGAATGATGGCCATGGTGGGCGAATGGCCCTGCCAAACCAGACACCACTCTTCTCAAGATATCTAAAAAACTACCCACCTCAAGAAACAATAACTACTACCACCTCACACAACACAGCGCATCCAACTACTCCCGTCCTTGTCCACAGATGCAACCCGACACCTTGCAAGTCCCAGCGCAATAAAGCAAGGCTTAAGTTCCTCTTCGAAGACTAACACAGACGCAAAGAGGGGTGCTACGTTTATTGAAACTATTGAAACACTTCCGCCCACTCGCGCCAGCAGATGACGAACCACAACTAGCAACTACAGATGAGCGCCACAATCGTTCTCCTGTAAGCCCCCCTTGCCACGCACTTAGCGCCTTTAGATGATTCAGTTACCAAATGCGGACTTGCCAATTCTCGCAGTCGGAATCCTGATAACGAATATGGTGCGCACGTCCTATTCCAGAATCCTTTCGCCACTTCCATCCCAACCACCGAGTCGCCACATGTGCACTGGTAATTCTGGTACAGCCGCAACGAAAAGGTCGGAGGGTTACCCTGGTTAAAAAAGCACAACCGCCAGAGAAATGTTGGCAGGCCATCACCCAGCTGGGACCCAGACCGCTCAGAACGCCGTCGGTCGGCAATCTGTACCGCTGCAACCAGGTGCGAAATTTCGAATGCAAGTGCGCGGGCGTGCCGTGACGTCCTCGGATGGGGATGGATGGATGGGTGGCTGGGCCCTGGTGGTGCCGTGATGGTGGCCGAGAACCACCCTCCAAGGAGCAGGTTCCGGTGCCGTTGTGGTGCTTTGAAGAGACGAAGACGAAGAGGGAGGGGGCATTGCTTCTGTCTCACGACATGCCTCTTTCTGCACTTGTCTTCCTCCGGAGCCCTACGTGGTAGTGCCTTTGCGCCAACATCTGTCTTATCTGTGGTGCTGTATGCCCCTCCCTGGTCCGCGCACCGGGGTCTTCATGCATCGGCATATTCGTTTTCGATACCTGTTTCTGATAGTGGACCAAATTTCGATGCAGTCTTTACACCTATCTCATGTGTGGTTGGAAAAAGATTGCTCTCACTCCGAATTGACACCATTTCTGAGACCTATTGCTTGCTGCCAGAGCTTATTCCTCCCATCGGTCATCAAGTGGGAATCTGGCCCTTCTGTCTTATCAACAATGCAAGTCTGCAGGTCCATAACCCACATAAAACATCTACTCTACATATTTCCATGCCGCATTTGTAAAATAAAGTAAAAATATTAAAAAGTGCATCTAATGAAAACGACAAGTGTGGTGCGACCTGAAATTTAGAAAATTAACGACCATTCGCAATAACTTCAGGGCATTTTCCTAGCCTGACCGGTCGTCGAGGTTGCAGTAAAGTAGATTCTTCTTCACACCCGCATATTGTGTCGGTTTCAACCTTTGATTGGCCTTCCTTCGCCGACGATGTAAAGCAGCTCTCTCGGTCACAACAGAATCCCATCACCTGATATAACTCTCACTCAGAAAAGCACGTTGCCTCACAAGTCGAAGTCCTTTTCTTCCAACGACACCCACCTAGTGTTCAGCTACCGCTTTTCTGTGAAGTTCATTGGGCAACAAAAAAAAGGGAGAGAAGGGAGCCTGGGGGGATGTGGAGCTGAACTCACCATCGCGGAGCCAGTCAAAGCTTTTTCTCTCTCTCTCACACTCCTGGTGGGGCCTCCCTCGTTTCCCTCCAAGCTTAAGCTCGGCCAAGTCAAAGCCAGCCATAACCATGAGGGGCCGGATCTTTAAGATGCGAGCATGGGCAGCTTCCGTTTGTCGCAGCAGACTGAATCTTTCTTTCGGCAACAAAACCAAAACCAAGAGGGAGCACGTGAATCCAGTGCACCAGAATGTGGACCACACTGCTTGCGATACAAAAACGGGGGCATACTTCGACGCATTGATAAAATATTACAAGGTTTCATCTTCATCCCTAATGCATACTAAGAAGCATAGTAACAGTCTTTGACGTGAAGTAATTGTAATTTCTATCTAACTGTTTACACTTTCATGTATTAGCAATCCACTTTGTCATATTCTAAAATTTTATTTGGTTACCTTGAACAATCTAGTACCAAGCAGGTGTTCTGTCATCCATGATTTGTACCATTTCTATAGGAGAGTTGTATCATCATGTAGTTTCTTCTTCATAGCTAATCAATTGATTTGCCTACATTCAATTAGTCATCTCTACATGATACTTCTACCTAGAGATCACTCCATACTTCTTTTAAAGACAAGATTATTTTTTTAAATCCAAATGGTCTACAAAATCTTTTAAGAGCATTTGAATTGAACCAAAGATTTCTAGCAAAAATATTTTGCTTCCACAAGAACACTTTCCAAGCTCTCTATTTTGAAATATTTATTGCCAATTTATACAAGATTGAAGTAGACTGGTTCCAAATTTTATGAGCTTGCTTATGAATACAAAATTTGTTCAATATGGTTCTAGATTTTTGAAAAGAACATAAAGCATAATGAATATTAATATGAAAACTAATTTATCCTATACATGTATTAATAGCCACAACTTTGTACAAAAGAAACTATATAAACATTGTTTCTCTTTAATATTATAATTTGGACTAGATGTATTCTATTTAAATAGAAAAGTCATGTACTAATAAAGAACCTTTTTTATTGATTGCAAATTTAATTATAAGCATATATCTTAAAAGTTATTTCTATTTCAATTTGGCCAAATATATCATTAGTTCTTCACTAATTACTCAATAATAGGAATTAAAATCAAATATTAATCCATATTCCAAACCATATAAAAAAATCAATGTATTTTATCATATATCTTGTTGAATTGGTCTTAAGAGCCATTCTTATAATTTTAGAAAATTGACCACTCAACTTTTCTGAAGATTAGATTGAAAGTTTTTTTTTAATTAATAAAAAAAATTACTACAATTTAAAATTCTTGATTGATTCTTGACTAAAAGGCTTTAATTTTTACAAGATTTAATTAAAAAAATCATCCAAGTCTCTATTCAAAGCCTTAAAATAAAATGTTCTTATTTTCTTTGTAATAACTAAAATTATGTCATTCTATTTTATTAAAAAAATAGGTTTTTTTTTGGATAAGTAATCAATTTTATAAATAATAATGTAGAAGCAAAATAATTACAGATGTGAATATTTTTTTTAATAAATAGTAAGATTTTTATTGTATTTAAGCCATACTTTTGATATTAGTTTTGAAATTTTATAGTAATAGACATTGGTGCATTTGTATAGTAGCAAGTGATAGATAGATAGTAAGTTGTAGATGTTGTTTATTATTAAGGTCAAACTATAGACAAGATAAAGTTAAATACACTTTGTAGATGAAGTTTGCATTTACTAATCATATACAAAGTAATAATAAGAAGATTCTAAAAGATTAAGCTATTGAGCTTAATTAAGATTAAGATTAAGCTATTAAGCTTACTTAAGATTCTAAAAGATTAAGCTATTAAGCTTAATTCTATTAAGCTTTAGAAGATTCTAAAAGATTCTTGAAAGTTCTAAGAAGATTAAGGCAGTTGTCTAAGAAACTTCTTAGAATTGCTTTGTCTTCAAGCAATATGAGAACTTCTTGAGAAACTTCATAATACATAATATATATTAAAGTTGAGGCTAAGCGAATCCTCAGTCTCAATAATACATCTTGTGGAGCTTTACTTCACCTTTCTTGATATTGATCTTGTACTCGTTTGATTTAATCAAGTTCTTGCTAGCTTTCTTATTGAAACTCTTCTATTCAACTTCTTGTTTGGTCTCCTATATAGCATACTTCTAAAAAAATAAACAAATATTGAAAATAAAATATTGGAGATAACTTAAAATTAAATAAAATATAAAAATATATATATTTTTGATAATTTGATAAGAATATATATTTTTTGTGATAAATAATATAAATAAAAAAATAAATTATATATATATATATATATATATATATATATATATACATAATTAAATGATAAAAATATTTAGATGTTTTTGTATAATAGTTTGGCTAAGAAATCTAATAAGTTTCAACTACAATTTAAATGAAAGTGAATTGAAATCCATTTAATATCATAAAGACTATTATATTATTATACATTGAATGTTATTTTTATTTTCTCAAATTTTTAAATTTTTAAAATTTTTAATCAGTAATCTATTTCAAAATTGATACTGATTTTTTTATTAATTATTATTTTTTAATATTTTTTTAAAAAATCAAACAATTTCGAAATAGATTATTGCTTTTTATTAATCAGTGTTTTATAGATGTTTTGAGTATTGATGCATAAAACATATGTGGTAGTTTTTCAATGTCTTTAAATTAGAGAAAAAGAAGACTACCTAAAAATACTGAGGATATCCTAATATAAATTTGCATGCCACACTACATACACATCTTTCTTTCTATCTATATATATATATATATAGTATAAATGAAAGTATCCCTAGTTTACACATCCATTATGTGCTAAGAATATAAGTAGTATGTTGCAATCAATTTGATATTGTTATAAATAAATAGGCAATGAAGTGTTATTAATAAATAAAAAATAAACCAGAAGTATGCCATCAATGTTTATTTAAAACACCGTTGAAATAAAAATATAATTATATACATAATTAGCATGATAAAATGAATTGGATTAGCTTTTCAATATGTATTTATCATATGAAAAACTAAAAATAATTATTAGAAAAATTAGAGACATGAATTTATAAAAAATGAAAATAAAATACAAAAGTTGCACAAGAACACAGAGTTATCTTTTTTCTTTACACACACTGGTATGGCCTAGAAGCCACAACAAGTGCATGCACAGGGAATGATTATTTCAAGCAATTATATGCTAAACAACATCAATTTACCTTTTGGAGAAAAATCATACCAATATACATAAAAACACATAAAAGCACAAAGCTGTGTGCATTCAATCAAGTTCAGGATCAACTCACTTGCCACAAAGTGTGTGAGTAGTCTTGTTGCATCAACTATTTTAAAAGTACACATGAATTAAGAACAGACCCATATATATATGTATACATACACACATACATAATAGTGGAAACCTGTGCCATTGGCCACAAAAAATATTTACTGAAAATTATTTACAATTGTGAGCTTCTAAGCGGCATGCTTAGTAATCTCGCAGTGCTACTCTAGGTAGTTTGCAGCAACAATTTTGATCTTTGATTGATTAAAAGTTGAATTGTTGCTTCATTATTACTTCACTTTTCATGAAAACAATGAGATACGCAGAGATGATTTTTGTCTCCTTTTGTTTATCTACTGAGCTATTTTATATACAAGATATACAAACACTCACTGAATCACAATAGATATTCTCAATTCCTGTTTTAAACCCATACTGCCATCAGAACAAAAATTCTGTGCAGAGCCACTAGAAAAAAATGTACGTATCCCTCTTATTTATTTCAGGGTTGCAACCCTGATTTTGAATCAGCTCCGATGCTGTCTGTATGTCTGTGTGAGGTGGTGCGCTTTCAGTGTCGGCGAAGACTCTCAGCTGTTGTTGAGATATTAGGTGAAAACATGTTTTCTTTCCGCAACAAGACTTTGGTTGATATAACGTGGGATTTATACCTTTTTTTTTTTTTTTTTTTTTTTCACGTGCAGCTGATGGGGAATGGATATTAGGATTCTAGTCTCTCCGAAGAGTCCTCACCAACTGGCTTTGTTTAGATATATATGAAAGATTCATCAGCTCGGTATTGTATTCTTATTCCTCTCACAAATCTTGATGTGTTGTTATTCTGCCATGATGTGCTAAAACGCATTAAACAGAGAGCTTGCATAACTGTTGTATTTGAAGGTTGAAGGTTTGGTGTTCCTGGGTTCCCTTGCACTATTTGCGGGGCAACAATTGAAGAATTGGAGTCATATTAATTGTTGCTGGGGGAGTGGCGTTTGATAACTGCAGTTTCGGTGAGATCTTTACACCTATTCACGATGGGTCATGGAGTCTGAATCGATTGGAATGTCTTCAGGTTGATCGTTACGTGCAGAGCTTGTATGAGCTCATTTCATGTGAAACAAAAGGCGTGATTACTGTGTCCCAGCAGCCAAAAAAAATTGCAACTTGTTTTGGGAATAGGTTCCAACTTTGGTGCAGAATGCAAATTTTATAAGAAATAGTTAAAGGTCCGGCGGTGTTTACAGCACGTGTTGCTGAACAAAGCGTCCAAACATCAACTTGGGGTCAATCCCCTGGTTTGCTATAAATCCATTTACTGACAAAGAAACATTCCCCTGACTCATTTCTTACTAAATCCTCCATCAGAATCATTTACGTTTCGCTAATTATTTCTGATATTTACAAGTTTTTCTTTTATTTTCTTTTTTATAAATCGAAATTTGAAATGACAATATTGCATTTGTATTTTTTTAGAT